CCCCAAAACCCCAAAACCCCAAAACCCCAAAACCCCTCACTTCTCTGTCACAGTTGAATTATTAAAAATGACGTATGCATTAGGTCAGTCAATGTCTGAGGATTTAGGAGTCCCAAGCTGGAAGAAAAAGTCAGGTTAAGATTTGCAGGCAGAAAAGAAGCTTCCAGCCGGAAGATATCTTGGAATTAAAGTTAGGTCATGCGGTGGAGAGGGGGTAGGGTAAGGAGTGGATAAGAAATTAGGTTAGGTATGTGCCGCCCAAATAGAATCAGTCTTGCTCATCTTGAAGATGCATCTTGACTTAGACCGAAATTTCTTGATATTTGAGTCAAATTTAGTCCCTTTGATTTGTAACTGCTTTTTGCTGTAAAGAAGTCCTTTTCTTAATTTCCAATTTGGAGATCTCAAAAATCAAGGTTTTGTCATGGAATCATTGGGCTTACGCAAGCTAGTCTTGGGAGGAAAGATGTGAATATTTCTGGATCCTCCAAGCTCTGCTTTGATTCTTTGATTACTAAACAGTTCCTATAGCAAGTTATCAAAATCTTGAATACAAATTGGTGATCTGGAGTAGATGGAATTAGCACGCTTTTATTTCAAATGGTGCCACTTTGAGAAATTCTGCTGCGTAACTTGAGCACCTTCTTAGTTTGAATAAGCTGTTGGAGCTTCTGCATCCTGGGATCCATTCTTCTTCTAATCTTATTATGGCCAACGACTTTGCCGTAAGGAGTCGATTCCTGAGTTGTCTTCCTTAGCAAAGGAAAGTTCTTAGAACCTTCTGATAAGCTAATTGATCTTGATTTGGCACCTAAAAGTTTTTAATAATATTACAAGAATTCTTTCTCCTCAGATATTTGATATCAGATACTCCTAATTTGAGGATATTAAAAAGACTGTTGTGCCCTCTCTTCTTCTCCATACTTGTCTTTGGTACTACCAAAACAGTCATTTCCAGTGTATCCGATCCTTCCGTTTGCTGTACGTTCGGATTTCATTCCCTAAAATACGTTACAACTTTATCCTTCTATAAAGTCAGGGCTTGGCCCACACAAAACTCACCTGTGGCCACTGCCTTATCATAAGAGACTTGTTCTTACCTGGTCGGGTGCGGCTGAGCCACTTTCATTATGTGAGGATTTGTATTATAAAAATTGTTATTTGTTCGCAATTTTGAATGAGTTTAGAGGGGTTTTGGGGTTTTGGGGTTTTGGGG